CACACACACACACACACACACACACACACACACACACACACACACAGACAGACAGATCCCTGCAGTAATTAATTATGTGCATGTTATAACAATTTTTGCATTTTATTTGAACAGTTTATGACCTTTTAGATGCTTCTGATTGTTGAATTTTCTGATAGGAGTATCAACAGTACAATCTATAATGTAGTGGCTGAAATAGATGAGTGATTATAAAGTTTTTTCACGTATTTATTAATTCATTTATTACTATTTTACATGGAACACACACACACATATATCAAAGCATTGCATTTTAGCATACAATTGTAAAACAGTTGGAGTTGTTGGAGTAAATTAACCAAATTATTTTTCATCATCAAAGCACAAACATCATCGTTTGCGTATTTAACATCAAAACTTCAAGTGCACCTCTTTTACTTTATTTGTAATCCAGTGTTTGCTGGGGCAGGGTATTGTGACGCGGCTGTCAGGTGACGTCACGCGCCTCGGCCCCGCCCCCCGGGAGCGCGTGAGAGAGCACCCAGGTAGATGCTCAACAGGTGCGTCTCACACCTGCGGTCCGCTCCGGGTAAGACACATCACATTCATGCAAACTAATTATCCTGAGAGTTTATCATGCTTTGTTTAATTTAGGAGCGTTAAACTGTTTCAGTGATGTCTCTGTTTAATTCTAAACTCAGTATTTCAACTGTAAATGTTGCCTGTTGGGAATATTTTGACAGTTAAACGTTAAATAGAAAGACATTTAAAAATAAATGTAAATGATAATCATTAATATGATATAATACCGAACAGACCGGTAGTTGTTCAGTCTTGAATAGGCTCGAAAATACATGAATTAAAGTTTATTACTATCCTTAACTATTGAAATGTGCTGTAACCAGTTATCTGTTTAACATGATATAATGTAGCAATGTTTATTAATGTTATTGATTGTGATATTGGTAGCACTTCACAGTAAGGTCTCATTTGTTAACATTAGTTAATGCATTAGCACTAAAAAAATATTTTTTTCGAAGCTGTAAATAAAGATTATTGGAGTACATTTTACAAGAAAGTACTGTTTTAGTTTTTCTACTTAAATGTCATGTTTTATTCAATGTGTTGCATGCCATTTCTTTGTAATTAATTGTGAAATTTACTAGCAGTTTCTAAGTGAAAATTCTTTCTATACCATTTTTTTTCAGTGCATCTGACAATCAGCAATATTTAAAAAAAAAAAAATAAAGCATTTATTTATCTTTTTTACTGTTAGTTACACTGGAAAAAAAAGGTAACCTAAAAAAAGTCAATTAAAAATATTATTCAGCAGCAAGCCAAATAACTTTTAACAATTTTTATGGGTTAAATAAATGGTTAAAAAAAAACTTTTTAAGGTTACCACTTTTTACAGTGTAGTGAAAATTTCACTTTTAGTCCACAGTGCGTTAAAAAATATAAATATAAAATATAAAAAATGCGTTTAATATTGTATTATTAAATGTTGAAATTAACATGAATTAAGAGTAATAAATGCTGTAAAAACATTGTTTATTGTTAGTTCATGTTAACTAATATAGTTAACTAATGTTAACAAATGAAACCTTATTGTAAAGTGTTACTGTGAAATATTAATAAAGCATTTTTTTGTTTTTCTGGTGGTCTGTGATTGGGCCGGTTTTGCTCCAGATATCAGTGTAAGAGTTAATGCAATAACCTACATAGAGAGGTCAAAGGTCAGAGACGAAAACTCACGCTCATTAGTGCGAGCTTCAGATTTATGTAAGAGTAAAGTCACACTTCTGAAGGATTGCGAGCATGGACAGACACACATGTGATGTTTATGTAAGTGTCATCATGGGGAATTAACATGTGTCTGGTGCAGGAGTCAGCTTGTGAAACTCGAGCCGCGATGGGTCGGAAGGAGATCGACTGCAGCTGGAAGAAAATCACCAACAACATCAAGGACATTTTCGACTTCAAGGAAGTTCTGGGGTCGTAAGTATCGAACACTGTGATTTTCGGAGTACATATTGTTTGCCGAGTCAGAAATCAGTGCAGCGCTCCTGAAGGTGTTTTTGCCAGCTTGAGCACTATTACAGGATCAGCAGCTTTAGCTCTCAGAGGAGACACATGCGTTCAACAGCAGTGCTAATCTGAGACACAGATTAACGGATTGAGGGCCAGGGGACATCTTTATCAATGAAGCCCTTCATCCTCTTGCTCCGATTGAGAAATACCGGCAGGAACCGTTTTGCAGTGAGACAGAATATTATAGGGCATTATTGGGCATTGTGAGGTGTTATGAAGCTTCATGAAGCATGATACAAAGTGTTCTGAAATGTAATGAAGCATTACAAAGCATTTTGAATTGTTATGAGGCTGTGAGAGGGACTATTATCTCTTACGACAGTTTATGAAGGGTTATGAAGCGTTGTAAGGTGTTATGAAGCTTAATAAATTGTAATAAGGCAAGGGAACTGAAAGGTGTTATGAAGCATTGTAAAGTGAGCCGGTAAGAGGCATTGTGAAGTGTTACAGTATGAAGTTTTATGAAGCATTATGAGAAGTAATGAAGTTTTATGGAGCATTATGAGTTGTTATGAAGCATTATAAGCGCTTTGAAATGTTATGAAGCTTTAAGAGGCACTTTTATCTCTTATGACACTTTATGAAGGGTTATTAAACATTATGAGGTGCTATGAAGCTTTATGAAATTAAATGAAGCTTTATGGAGCACTACATTGTATTATGATGCTTTGTAAGGCATTACTGAACCATTAAATGAGCCACTGTAATAGTGTTATGCAACTTTATGAAGCATTATGAGATGTTATAAAGCTTTATGGAACACTTTAAGGTATTAGGAAGCTTTGTGAAGTGTTATAAAGCATTATACAGTTTTATGAAGTTTTAAGAGTCGACATACAGTAAGCTCTTATGACACTTTATGAAGGGTTATTAAACATTATGAGGTGCTATGAAGCTTTATGAAATTAAATGAAGCTTTATGGAGCACTACATTGTATTATGATGCTTTGTAAGGCATTACTGAACCATTAAATGAGGCACTGTAATAGTGTTATGCAACTTTATGAAGCATTATGAGATGTTATAAAGCTTTATGGAACACTTTAAGGTATTAGGAAGCTTTGTGAAGTGTTATAAAGCATTATAAAATGCTATAAAGTTTTAAGAGTCGACATACAGTAAGCTCTTATGACACTTTATGAAGGGTAGTGAAGCATTAAGAGAAGTTGTGAAGCAGTATGGGGCACTGTAAGAAGTTAGGAAGCTTTGTAAGGCTGTACTGAACTATTATGATGCATTATGCATTAAATGGATCTTTATGGGGGGATATGAAGCATTTTGAAGCATTGTAGGAAGCTTTATGGAGCTCTATAAGGTGTAAGGAAGATTTATAAGGCATAATGAGCCATTATGAAGCAGTGCTGTGAAGTTTTATGAAGCTTTATGAACCAAACTGTTCCGAAATGTTATAAAGCTTTAAGAAGCACTGTAAGATCTTATGGCACTTTATCAAGGGCTATGTAGCATTATGAGGTGTTATGAAGCTTTATGAAATATGGGGCACTAAAAAGTGTTTCTAAGAAGCATTTGAATGCATTGCTGAACCATTAAATGAGATATTGTGAAATGTTATGAAGCTTTATGAAGCATTATGAGTCATTATGAAGCATTATAAAGTGGTCCAATGAAGCTATGCTATGAAGTTTCAAGAGGCAATATAATGTCACTTTATGTCAAATGTCACTTTATGAAGGGTTATGATGCTTTATGGGGCACTATAAGGGGTTAGGAAGCTTCGCCAGGCATACTGAACCACTATGAGGCAATACAAAGTGTTATGAAACTTTATAAAGCATAATAAGTTGTTATGAAGCATTACAAAGTGTTATGAAACTTTATGGAGCATTATGAAATGGTGTGAAACATTTTGAGGCACCATAGACTCAAATGAAGTTGTATGAAGTGTTATAAGAAGTTTTGAAGTATTATGAGGTGCTAAAATAATCTGGAGTATTATGAAGGCAGTATAAAGTGTTACAAATCTATGCGAGGCATACTGAGGAATAGAGATGAATTAATGGGTGAATCTTTATGAGGCATTATGAAGCATTATACAGCTTTATGAGATATTATTTGACATTATGAGTCATGAAGTGTTTTGAATTATCAGTAAGTTGATATTCAGAGATGTTTGTCAGTAGTTTGTTGACCGTGTCAGCGTTAGTGCGTCTCTCTCTCTCGACACCTGTTAATCTTCATCTGCGGGTGATTGAGACAGACATCAGAGAACATCCTGACACTGGTCAATTAAAGGATTACTGAGGGGTGAATGTAAGTGGGTTTACTAAGCTACACCACAGGGACATATTTGCCTCCAAAAGAGAACTGAATCTTACGAGTCTTTGCTAATTGTGTTATGGTTATAGACCGATTGCTGTAAATTATGGATTAATTTTTCATAATTTCTAGAATGAGTGCCTTAATTGGATTCTGAACACATTTATGTTGATTACAGCACGTTTGGAGAGTTGGCAAGGTCTGACTGACTTCAAATAATCACCCTCTCATCAATTGGCAATGGTCAAACAGTGACTAATGTAATAATCTCTGCTGTAGGAGTTTGCTTTCATACATAGATGGTTTGAGAATGTGCCAAGCATGGTGAGAACATGTTGCTAAGCCGTTGCAGTGTTCTCGGTGGTTGCTAGGGTGTTCTGGATTAAAGGCATTGTGGGTAATCAGTCATGAGGGGCGGCACTGGGTCTCTTATATAACGCACTGTAATCCTCCTCCTAGGACAGTTATTCATGGGAGAGGTGGACTCAAGATAGACAGGGTGGGTTCAAGTTTTCACTGGAACAGGCTGGACACACACAGCACGGCCTTGTGCTGATGGATTAGTGCTGATCTCCATGCACTGAACTTAAAGCTCACTGGGAGTCCAACATTTAGAGCTTCACATACTGCAGAAAGAATTCTGTTGCTGTTTATGGGGTTAAAATGTTCATATCCTTTTAACTGTTTCTGCAGGGGCTCGTTTTCTGAGGTCTACCTGGTGAGAGAGAGAAAGACCGGGAATTTCTACGCCCTGAAGTGTGTGAAGAAAAAACAGCTGCACCACTCGAACCTCGAGAACGAGATCAAAGTGCTGAAGAGGTACAAGAAAAAACAAGACACCAGTATCTCTGACACTACAGACCACCACAGACCTTTAAAATAAACACTCAAATCACAAACATAATCATCACAGGTCATTGTCACAGAAAGCACAGACCATAAACAACACAGACCATTAACATAAAGACCACAGACCAATATCACCAACACTACAGACCATAAACATCACAGACCACTAAAATAAACACTCAGATCACAAATATAATCATCCATTTTCACAAACACTACAGACCATAAACAACACAGACCATTAACATAAAGACCACAGACCAATATCACCAGCACTACAGACCATAAACATCACAGACCACTAACACAAACACCACAGACCACTGAAGTAAACAGTCAGATCACAATTATAAGTATCACAGACCTTTAACATAAACACTACAGACCAATATCACCAACACTACAGACCATAAACATCACAGACCACTAAAATACACTCAGATCACAAATATAATCATCACAGATACTACAGACCACAAACACGACAAAAGCATGAGCATAAAGACCACAGACCAGTATCACTAACACTACAAATATCATAGACCACTAATATAAATACTACAGACCACTAAATACGACAAAAACATGAACATAAAGACCACAGACCAATATCACCAGCACTACAGACCATAAAGATTACAGACCACTTACACAAACACCACAGACCACTAAAGTAAACAGTCAGATCACAATTATAAGTATCACAGACCTTTAACATAAACACTACAGACCAATATCACCAACACTACAGACCATAAACATCACAGACCACTAAAATACACTCAGATCACATATATAATCATCACAGATACTACAGACCACAAACACGACAAAAACATGAGCATAAACACCACTGACCAATATCACCTACACTACAGACCATAATCATCACAGACCACTAAAATCACAGACGATAAACATAAACACCATCACCCATTACCACAAACCTCAAACATAAACATGATAGCCCTTAAACATGTTCTACAGACCATAAACACCAAAGACCGCTAACACACTACAGACAGGCTACAGACTGTAAACATAAACACCACTAAAAACAAAACAGACATGATCACAGTCACAGACTACTACCACAAAAGACCACTGACATAAAAAACATTGATGCAAACACCACAGACCATAAACGCTACAGACCATTAACGCAAATACCCTTGACTCCACTTAAAACACCACGGACAACAACCCCTAAAAGTCTCTCTCTCTGTCTTTCAGGATAAAGCATGATAATGTGGTGGGACTGGAGGATTTCTACGAAACGAGAACACACTATTACCTGGTCATGGAGCTGTACGTGTTTGATAAAGCCTGAAATATACACACAAACACAATCACACACATCTTTTTTAGCGTCATTTTAATGTGTTTTTGGGTGAAGGGTGTCGGGCGGAGAGCTCTTTGACCGTATTCTGGATCGAGGTGTTTACACGGAGAAAGACGCCAGCCGTGTGATCAAACAGGTCCTGGAGGCCGTGTCCTACCTGCATCAGAACAGCATCGTCCACAGAGACCTGAAGGTGAGAGCGGACGATCTTCTAGCAATTCAGTTTTTTAATGCAATGTCATTAACCGCCGTGGTTTTGTCCGTCTGTAGCCTGAAAACCTACTGTACTACAGTTCGGATGAGAACGCCAAGATCATGATCAGTGACTTCGGTCTGTCCAAGATGGCCGATCACGGCGTGATGTCCACAGCCTGCGGAACACCAGGATATGTTGGTATGAATGGTTTTACACAGTCAAACTTCATATTTCAATTACATTTTCATTAAATTGCTTATAATGTCCATGATTGTGGTGTTTCTCCTCAGCTCCGGAGGTTCTGGCTCAGAAACCGTACAGTAAAGCTGTGGACTGCTGGTCTATCGGCGTCATAACCTACATCTTGTGAGTCTGCGCTCATGTAGACACTCCTGAGAGCCAGTCAGTTGTGTTTTTCCTTCAATCAATCTCTTATGTGTTTGTTTAGGTTGAGCGGCTACCTGCCGTTTTATGAGGAGAACGAAACGCGCCTGTTCTCCAAAATCATGAAGGCAGAATACGCCTTCCACTCGCCGTACTGGGACGAAATCTCTGAGTCAGGTGCATCACAGACACTTTACAGACGCAGAAGTCTCATAAACATGAAGAGACGTTACTGCCACCTGGAGGCCATCAGCTGTATTACAACATCAACTCCTGTAGAGACTATTCAGGCATAGATCTCTTTTTCCCTGTGAATAATTGTGATTAAACTCTCTTTACTTTTGATTTCTGCAGCGAAGGACTTCATCAGGCACATGCTGGAGAAAAACCCTAATAAACGTTTCACCACTGAACAAGCGCTCAGTCATGCATGGTGAGAAACACGAAGCCACATCTCAGAGAATCTCAGTACTGTTTTACATGAATAAACATAGTGAAAAAAAAAACGGACTAAACTTAATGTTCAAATAATGGTTAAACAAATAGAAATACGAATAACATACTAATTAGTTGACTCATAAATACTGTATAATGATTAATAATCAAACATAAGCGTGCTTATTTTGAAATATGTTGATTCATGGAAAAAACTTACCGTATCATCAATAAACATACATATGCATGAATGAGAAAACTAATGCATAAAGCATGCAGATTCATAATTGAGTATACAAATTTATGAATAAACATTTTAAAAATAATACTGTTCATTCATGAACACAGATGCATGAAAAAAACATACATAGGGTGAATAAACAAACTAATGCATAAACATGCATATTTATAAATAAATACACTTTTAATAATTTCGATATAAGCATGTTGATTCATGAATAAACACCGATTCATGAAAAGCATACTTATTCGTGAATAAACAAACAAACATGCTGATACATAAATAAATATATTGATTTATGAATAAACACTGATTCATGAAAAAATGGTATGATGAATCAGCATATTTTTTAATAATGCATAAAACATGCAGATTCATGATTTATGAATAAACATTAATTTTAAAATAAGCATGTTGGTTATTTATACATTTGTTTATTCTTTGATAAGTATGATTATTCATTAAATCAGTGTTTATTTATTAAACATGCCGATTCATAAATAACTATACAGTTTTATAAATAAACATTCATTTTAAAATAAGCATGGTGATTTATGTATAAACATAAGCCATGATGACTCAACATACTTGTGCATGTATAAACAAACTAATACATAAATATGCATTCAGATTCATAAATAACTTTATAAATAAGCACGTTGATTCGTGCATAAACACTGATTCATGAAAAAACATGGCATGATAAATCAACAAAGTTTTTCATAAACGAATGCATAAAATCATGCAGGTTGATAAATAAGTAATCTGATTTCTGAATCAACATGCTGGTTGATGAATGAATGAAGTCGCTGGTCTGTCTGTGCAGGATCATTGGAGACACGGCGCACAATGACAACATCATTCAGCCCGTCTGTGAGCAGATGCAGAAAACCTTTGCCAAATCCAAGTGGAAGGTGAGAGAGGGCAGATCATCTATTCTCTCATCCTGTGTGGCAGTATGAATTATTGACGGTGCGTGTGTTTCAGCGAGTCATTAATGCGACGGTGGTGGTCAGTCACATGCGGCGACTGCAGCTGTCCCACACTGACCCTCCGGCCCTGACCCCGGCCCCGCTGATCCAGGTTCTGGACGTCTCGTCCCCCGGCCCGCCCCCGGATAAGCTGGACACCAATGGGAACCCCTCGTGCAGTCACATGACCCTGTCGCCTCAAGCTGATGTCAGCAGGGGCCGGGGCCCACTAAAGGCCTGCAACAGTGAGCCGATGCACGCGCTGGTCATCTGTGAGACGGGGCAACACGTGTACTGCTCCGAGTCCGACCTGCCCTGCGCCGCCAACAGGTACAAACCTCCCCTCTTTGATTTTTAATTATATCAAGACTATCAATACATTTCAGTTTTTAATTACGTATATTTGTAATTGAGATTCGTCCAACATTTTGGGGCATTTCAAAGAACCGGTAGCAATGCATTCTGGGATAACATTGTCCATGAAGAATTAATTTGATGCTGCCTTTGAATATAAATATATTATATATTATATAAAATATATGAATATATAGATATATTTGATAATAAATTAAAATAAATATTAAATTGAGCAATAATGAATTTGCAATTATTTCATGTTCAAAATTCACAGTAAGAGATGTTTTATTCAATTTTATTTCAAATTGTTTTAAAATTTAAACTTGAGATGCAAAAATGGTTCTTTCAGCTGTCCATTTTAATGAATTGATTCGTAACTCTGATGAATCGATTCATAACTGATGCCAAAGAATCGTTTCATACATTTGATTCAGCAATTGATTCAACAACTCGAATGAATTGAATTAGTGAACAGATTCAGTTGGTTCTGTAAATCAATTCAATCGAGTCACAAAGTGGATCCATTATTCAACTCACTTAATTCATCAAGTCAATTCATGACTGATTCAGTGAGTCGATTCATAACTCTGATTCACTGATTCATTTGCATCATCACTCAAAAATGTTCACTGAATCTCCTCGTGGCATTTCTTGTTTTTAAATTGTTTAATGCAAAAAAAAACTGCTTATAAATATAGATATTTTAAACTATATTGCAATTTATTGTGTTTAATGACTTGAAAATATTTGTATTTTATATATAGATTTGTATTGTATAAAGATTTATTTAAAAATGCTTTTGAAACTAAAATTGCACTGTTATTTGGCTTAATACATGAAAACATTTTTTTATGTAATTGGCTGAAGTTAATTTAACTTTAAAATGATTTTTTCTCTGTGTTTCAGATCAGACAGAGTGACATGTTGCACAGATGAGCGGGGCCAGTCGCTGCAGACCGGGGTTTGCTCTGTGATGTGATGGGATGATTGACAGCTGTCAGTCAAATGAAGTGAGTAGGGCTCAGGTCGCCGCTTTGAGCGTCCCGTGACAGTAAAGGTGTGTGACATCTCGTCTTCTGTCTCTCTCAGATCCTGCGCTCGTAGGATGATCAAGTGTGTGTTTTTCACGGGATCGGTCGCACGTCGGATCCACACGAGTGCCAGTTGTCTGCGTCTCAAATCTTCAATACATGAAAACATTTTTTTATGTAATTGGCTGAAGTTAATTTAACTGTAAAATGATTTTTTTTCTGTGTTTCAGATCAGACAGAGTGACATGTTGCACAGATGAGCAGGGCCAGTCGCTGCAGACTGGGGTTTGCTCTGTGATGTGATGGGATGATTGACAGCTGTCAGTCAAATTAAGTGAGTAGGGCTCAGGCCGCCGCTTTGAGCGTCCCGTGACAGTAAAGGTGTGTGACATCTCGTCTTCTGTCTCTCTCAGATCCTGCGCTCGTAGGATGATCAAGTGTGTGTTTTTCACGGGATCGGTCGCACGTCGGATCCACACGAGTGCCAGTTGTCTGCGTCTCAAATCTTCATCTCTCACTAGCGAAAGTGTCATTTCTGTCATTTCAAGCAGATTGAGAATGTCATTTCTCTCAGGAATTCAGGACAAGGCAGGTTTATTGTATTTTCCGTATATTCATGTACGATAGTCGTATTTGGGCCGATGCCGGTGCATCATGGGAAGGGCAGATCACGTGTGCCACTGTTCTACTGTGAGCGGCAGCAGGTTTGAGTCTTTTTAATCTAAGAAATGTGTTTAAATCTTATTTTCTTATTTCAAACTCATGCTCGCTGTTGTATTCGCTATATTTATGTCTTATAAATGCATATAAGATGATTTTATGTGTTATTTAGGGGCTTATTAAGTCGGTATCAGCACAGAGCCCTGCTGTACTCCATAAACACGCTGCTGTATGTCTGTATTAAAATACATAAAATAAAGATATTTACACACCAGTGTAATATCCTGGAGAATTCATGTGTGTTTTAATGACATTTTCATGTAATTTTACCTTCAAAAGTTGGGGATTGCATGCTAGTATACTATGTCATCTCCAGTATGCTGAAGTTTTTGTGCACAAAATACCCAAATACCTACAAAATGGGTCTAAACGTGCAGTATACAGCGCACTCTTTTTTAATACTTAAACTTTTCAACATTTAATTTGACAAAAATAGCTTTTTATATTTTCAGTTTTCATTGTAATTTTAGTTACGTTTTTAGTAATTTTGCTATGTTCTTTTGTCATTTTTATTAGTTTTTTAATTTAATTTTTACTTCAGTTTTAGTCATTTTAATTAATCAAACCCTTTTTTAACAGTTTTACTTAATAACAACACTGATGCACACTGCATACTTACATTAGTAAGCAGTCTGCAGTGCACACTGTGTAGTATGCTAGTATTCCACTGTAAATATAAACACACGCTCACAATAATCTTCATTCAGACACTTTATTGGTTGCACATGAACGTTTCTCGTGTGTTGTGGTCCTCAGCCATGGCATATGCTCAGACTGGTGACTTTATAGCGGATGTCGTCTCTGAGTTTCTCCACCTGAGCGTCCAGACCGGTCAGTCGTGCCGAGTTCTGCTGCAGCTCCGCCGCTCCCTGATGAACGGACGCCTCCTTATCTGAGAACGCAAACACACCACCGGTTACCATAGGGATGTGTGCGCTGAGCATTATGGGATGGCTGTGTAGTGGACGGTACCTTTCAGAGCCTGCATGAAACACATGAAAGTTCACTAACTAGGGCTGTCAAGCCATTCAAAATGTGTATCTAATTAATAACACAATGTGCTGATTAAGTCATTATTGTGTTAGATGAGAAAATAATTTTTTTAAATATACAACTAAAACTGCCAGAAGGCAGCAGCAAGTCACTGTGTTAATGAGTGAGTCATTGAATCATTCAGTCAACCAATTCATTCAAACAGCTGTTTCATTCGGAATCTAAGGAAGTAGTGTCTTTATGATTTATTCATTTAAAAATAAATAAATAAAATTAAATATTATAAATATAAATATTATTTGTATTTCTAATTTACTAAAGTACAAATCAATAAATGACACCATATTTTAACTAGTTACAATTTGTTGCCATGTTAATTTATAAAAAATAATACATAAAAGACACTGAATTAATTTAATAGTTAATATATATAAATTTATTCATTTGTGTATTTATAAATTAATAAATCACAAATCAATAATTGAATTTTATATTCATTAAATTCATATCTTTAAAAATATGAATATTAAAATAGGAAATGATTTTTGAAAATTAAATTAAACTAAATATGAATCTGATTAATTCAGAAATGAAGCAAGTGACTCTTTATGCATGAGTCAGTGAATCATTCACTCACTCAATTAGTTCAAAACCGTTGGTTCATTCAGAAACGAAACACCACTGTGTCGCTCTTTGTTTGGAGCTATTTTTGTTTGCGTAATTGAGCAAAAACAGACAACATTGTTTCTAAAATGTAACACAATATTAGCTTCTTGTTTATTGAACTGTTGTGTCAAATCAATATCACATATGCAGTCGTGCAGACCTTGGGTAAAGCAGCACTCTTGCTGGTGTGATATTGCTAGGGTCATTTTCTGCGCTCATATATTGAATTTTAGGTTCATTTAACTGCATTCTAATAGGCTCCATCACGCAGTCAGTCGTTGTCCTGCATCAGGTTCGTTTATTAAATTAATCGCACCAAATTAACACATTAAACCAACACCTCTGTTACTAATCAAACCAGAGTGTTGTGTGTGTTTCCGCACCTCTGCCGCTTGTTCGGCCTCGTCCTGAGCTGAATTTGCCTGATCCTGAGCGGCGTTTGCCAGCATCGTTCCCATCGTTGTGTCTTTCCTCAGGCCGTCCAGCAGGGGGCGCATCTAATCCAGCAGCCCTGTGACTCCCACAGTCCCCTGCTCGGTGGGCAGTAGCGCGTCCTCTATCTGAGACACAGGAGATCAGTCACTTTAGTGCGCGTCTGGACGTTTTTCGCTCAGATCTCAGACTGACCTGTTTGACGTCGTTCTTGACGTTGTTTGCGACGTTGGCGCTCTGACGGATCTAGTCTTCCAGCTCACCGAAAATGGCCTCGTTGTCATCCATCGTCTTCAGGATGCTCTCAGCATCCTGCTGGATACCGAATGCAGTGTCACTGCAGACAGCAACGTTAAAGAACATTAGAGAAATACTGAGTTAATATGAGACAAAATATTAAATGTGGTGTTAGTGTGTGTTTTTAGTGTGTGTGCTGTTAGCATGTGTTGTTAGTGTGTGTTTTTAGTGAGTGTGCTGTTAGCATGTGTTGTTAGTGTGTGTTGTTAGCGTGTGTTGTTAGTGTGTGTGTCATTAGCGTGTGTTTTTAGTGTGTGTGCTGTTAGCATGTGTTGTTAGTGTGTGTTGTTAGCGTGTGTGTGCTGTTAGCATGTGTTGTTAGTGTGTGTGTGTTGTTAGCGCGTGTGTTGTGTACCATGTGCTGTTAACGTGTGTGTTGTGTACCATGTGATGTTAGAGTGTGTGTGTGCTGTTAGCATGTCGTTAGCGTGTGTTGTGTACCATGTTATGTTAGCATGTGTTGTTAGTGTGTGAGTGTTGTTAGTGTGTCGTTAGTGTTTGTTGTGTACCGTGTGCTGTTAGCATGTGTGTGTTGTGTACCATGTGTTGTTAGAGTGTGTGTGTGTGCTGTTAGCATGTCGTTAGCGTGTGTTGTGTACCATGTTATGTTAGCATGTGTGTGTGTGTTGCTAGTGTGTGTTTGTTAGCGTGTTGTTAAGGTGTGTGTTGTGTACCATGTGTTGTTAGCGTGTCTTATGTAACGTGTGTTTATAACGTGTCGTTAGCGAGTGTTGTTGCCATGTGATGTGTACCATGTGTTGTTATCGTGTGTTGTATACCGTGTGTTGTTAGCATGTGTTGTGTACCGTGTGTTGTGTACCGTGTTGTTAGCATGTTTCATTAGCGTGTGTTGTTAACATTTATTGTTAGCACGTGTCATTAGTGTGTGTCGTTAGCGTGTGTTGTGTACTGTGTGTTGTTAGCTTGTATTTGTGTACCATGTGTTGTTAGCATGTGCCGTTATTGTGTGTTGTGTACCATGTTATGTAACGTGTTTTGTTAGCATGTCCTTAGCATATGTTGTTAGTATGTTGTTAGCATATTGTGTACCTTGTGTTGTACGTATACCGTGTTGTTAGCATGTGTTGTGTACCGTGTGTTGTTAGCCTGTGTTTGTGTACTGTGTGTTGTTAGTGTGTTGTTAGCTTGTGTTGTTAGCGTGTCCTGTGTGCTGTTAGCGTGTGTTGTGTAGCGTGTGCTGTTAGCATTTGTTGTTAGCATGTGCTGTGTACCCCGCGTTGTTAGCATGTGCTGTGTACCGTGTGTTGTTAGCGTGTTTGTGGTGTTGGCGTGTGTGTTGTTGCTAGCATGTGTTGTTAGCGTGTTTGTGGTGTTAGCGTGTGTGTTGTGTACCGTGTGTTGTTAGTGTGTTTGTGGTGTTAGCGTGTGTGTTGTGTACCGTGTGTTGTTGGCGTGTTTGTGGGGTTTAGCATGTGTGTTGTGTACCGTGTGTTGTTAGCGTGTTTGTGGTGTTGGCGTGTGTGTTGTTGCTAGCATGTGTTGTTAGCGTGTTTGTGGTGTTAGCGTGTGTGTTGTGTACCGTGTGTTGTTAGCGTGTTTGTGGTGTTGGCGTGTGTGTTGTTGCTAGCATGTGTTGTTAGCGTGTTTGTGGTGTTAGCGTGTGTGTTGTGTACCGTGTGTTGTTAGCGTGTTTGTGGTGTTAGCGTGTGTGTTGCTAGCATGTGTTGTTAGCGTGTATGTTGTGTACTATGTGTTGTTAGCGTGTTTGTGGGGTTTAGCATGTGTGTTGTGTACAGTGTGTTGTTAGCGTGTTTGTGGTGTTAGCGTGTGTGTTGCTAGTATGTGTTGTTAGCGTGTATGTTGTGTACCATGTGTTGTTAGCGTATTTGTGGGGTTTAGCGTGTGTATTGTGTACCGTGTGTTGTTAGCATGTTTGTGGTGTTAGCGTGTGTGTTGTGTACCGTGTGTTGTTAGTGTGTTTGTGGTGTTAGCGTGTGTGTTGTGTACCGTGTGTTGTTGGCGTGTTTGTGGGGTTTAGCATGTGTGTTGTGTACCGTGTGTTGTTAGCGTGTTTGTGGTG